TGACCGAGTTTTCCCCACAAGTGCCCCTCGGTTTTGAAACGACTTGCCTGAGGAGAAGAGGCTTGTGGAGTCAGTAACGTCTTCTAAATCACTTCTTAAAACCCCCTTTTATAGACTTGCTTTTCTGTGACGTTTACTTTTAGCTTTAATTAGCTTAAGTGTTGTAGTCTGTCTCTTATTTTATATGCTCTCTGTTGTTTTATTTTAATTTTAGCTGCCTGGTTCTTCGGTGTGATGTCGCCTTTAATTTGTTAATTCTTTAATTTATGATTTTTAACTTTTAATGTTCAATTTTAAATCGTGTAGTTCCTTTGTATGATACGCATCCTATTCTAGCTAATTATTCATTTAACTTAACATCATTTCTATTATTTTTTACTTGACTGCTCTGCCTTGTCTCCTTATGCCTTCTGACTTGCTTGAAGCGTTCGTGTTGCATGGTCGACTCCAGCGAACGGGTTAGGACAGATGGTTGAGATTTTATGAGCTATAATATCCCTTTATTAGATTACAGACAATAACGAGTAAAATACTATAAATTTGCCCATTAATGCATAAAAATGCTAAAACTGTAAATAATGTTCACATCAAAAAGTAATTATATTTAAATCAGTGAAAATGTCACTATTTTACAGATATTTACTGGTATTTTTACAGTTTTTGAACGTTACAGTTGCCAGATTTATGCCTTTTTACCTTTTTGCAAGGTGTTTTTTATTTTATTTTTACAGTGTATGAAAGAGGAGGAACCCTTATGCTGCTATCTACGAGCTGGGAACTGTCAGTCACATTGCACGCAGCCTATTCAAGACAGCTAATATCTACGGCATCTTAGAAAACCTTCATGAGAGAAGTGAAAGATGCGCCCTCATGTTGAAAGCTGACCATTCACAGTCTGAGCCCGGAAGAGCCTCCATCATTCCCCACTCCTCGCTCTAACTTGTTCATATTAATGGAAACTGCCTCCCAGCACTCTCCTGTTCCTTTTTTCTACATGGCTGTCCTCAGTGCTTGATGACTCTGACCTCTGTACGACCAGCTTCCCTGAGAATCATTCTTCTGTTCTCATACATGCAGCAGTGTTGGACTATACTGACAAAAGTACGCTAAATCCATGTTTTCTACAAGCGTGTCAGAATTGTGCTGCTTTATGGCAGGACAACCGGTTTTTGATATAATCTGCATCATTCCACTTTCCTCCGAGCACTCCTTAAATGCAACTTTTATTTAATCCAATCAATTTGTGAAAATCAAATCTTGTTCGCGTTGCATTTTGCGTAAAAGAAAGATGAAACCACAGTTGACTGTTGGACAAATTAAATCGTCAGCAGCAAATTTCACAGCGAACACCCCGTGCACAAGTGCAATTTCAGAACTGACCTCCTGGATTATGTTAGGGCGAAGTTACGATGCTAACCTCTGTCTGAAAGAGTTGTGGGGTTGAGAAGGGCGCGGCCTCCGACCTAACCTTGCTTATAACTGCAGCATGTAGCCGGGACACAGAGGGCCAAAACCAGAGCTGTGAGGTTATATTGGGATGAGTTAACAGCCTGTGTTGCTCTGGTCTCAAAGTACTTAACCCTGTCAAGAGCAAAGAGGGCTCTGACAAAACCCTGGGAACACAGACGGCCAGATTCTGAGTTTAAAAAATGCAAAAACACCCTGAGATGCACAGAAACTGGAAAACAACATTGTTTATCTGTTTATTAGACGGGACAGTGCGTATTAATGTATGTACAATCGTAGGTTGCCGTAAATACGCCGGATTTAGCACAAGGCTAATTTCCATATCAGCATCACTGCAGAATTTAATATTTGGGGTTTGACTTATTCTTCATGTCAGGAAGTTTTCAGAATTAGGAGGAGGAACGCTTCTAATGGCTGACTTTACGAGGGTTTGACGCTTGATAGTTTTTTTCTGGACAAGTTATTAGAATTCAAGGAGACTAATATTTGGAATTGATCCACTTTTATAGAGAAAATTTTGGTATCAAACTTCAGAATAACATAAATGCCAAAACAAAACATGATACACATGCCTCTGTACATATATGTTTTCCAAATGTTTTATTAAAAGAGAACTTTTCAGTGTTGATCAGCCTTAAGACGTGATGTGCAACCAATCAGATACAAGACCACAGACTGACTACAGATAGAGAGAGGCGGCTGCACCACAGCCAAAGCAGCACATTTTAAAATTAATTTATTAGGACTCGGTAGGGGAAAAAAAACGGAAAAATGTTAAATATCAAATCTGATAATCGTCCAGATCGTCGACCCCCTATGTCCTACTCATCTCTGCTGTGATAAACTCTGCTATACAAAACTCTATTGCGTGCCACATTTAGGGGAAATATCCATATAACTTCCAAAAATGTATTGTGATATTTACAATTTTCAGGAAAATCTTTTTTTTTAATAGTCTTTACTGGATGTTATTAAAGTTCTGTGAGAACAGGGAGTTCTATGACAGGAGGGTTTGTTTTGTTTGCCAATATGGTGGATTTTATGTTGTTGGTTGCGACGCTAGAGAGAAGAAGACTGCTATTGAAGACAACAAGAGGGCAGGAAAATTACATTGTTGTCCTCTCCAAGTTTCACCAACCAGCATTTTCGTTCCTCTCTGTGTTTTACCAGTCTGCATCAAGACCTGAAAACCCCTAAAAGAGGTTCTACAGGGGCAGCTCTTTACCCCACAAGGTTGAGGTTTGCCCTCAAACGGCCTTAGATATGTGATATAAACTGCAGGGAAATGACTGGTTCGCATGTGCAAAGACAAACGCACACAGGACCACTTGCACTGTATTCCATATTGCACTGCAAAGTTTAGCCTTTCCATCTCTACACTACAGTTTTGTACAACAACACTATATTTTGAAGTTTGGGTCATAAAGCAACAGAATCTCCAAGATGAAAGATGTTAACTAAGCTTTCTCTGATGTGTTTCTTTTGTTTTTAAGTAGCTTCTCTCTGCACCATACCCAATAATCACAACTTTTATAGCTCGCTGTTAAACTTTGACTCCGGATAATTCTTCCAGCTCTGCTCTACAATGACAACTTTTACTGTCGGAGCATCTGCGAAAGTTGTGGTGGAGCACCGGCGGAGGTAGTCATAAAAAGTCTGAGGTCATGGAAATGTTCAGGGAAAGACATTTAAAGTCAACGTGGGAAACAGTGTGACAGTAAATTGCATTTATTTAACCCCTTTACATTCATTTTGGGAGATCAAAGTAGAGCACTTAGCAAAGCAGACTGTTTGAGCATCTGCTACACAGTGACGCTGCTATTATATTCTCTGCAGCGCGTATCCCTGATGCCACACTGCTCTGTGCTGCAGCCTGCTTTTGTTGTATTATTCTGAGCCTCTGCTCTCAGAGCTGCTGTTTGTAGGGTTAGGTCCTGTCGTGTGAAGGGTGCAAGGTTGAGTTCAGGGGTTGGGGGTGTCCTTTTTCAGTGAAATGGCCCCTCCATGTACATCCACATACCCACAGGGTGACTCTGGTCTCACAGCAAATAATTACATAATAACCAAGATTACGCGGGCGGTCAGACGTGTCTCAGCAGCATTCACTGTTAGCAGCCTGTCAGTCATTCAGGTGGTTCATTCGGACCCGGCTATGGAAGCTGAGCAGGAGTGGAGGGGGTCCATAAGTGTGTGTCTTTGGGGAGGGGGTGGACAGGTCCTTGTGTGTGTTTGAAACACGATGCATTCAGTGTAGTTTTGCCCTAATACTATGACACTATTTTGGTGTTTCCCTTGTTTAATTCCATTACTTCTGCCGGTAAGTTACTGCTGCTTACACTCAGCCAGCAATTAAGGCAGCGAGACATTCAGTCGGTCAGATCAAGAGGCCAGCAGGCCAGCGTAATTGCTGGAGGGTAGCATTCATCTTTCTTTTATGGCAGGCAGTTCTATCCAACCCTCCAGCTAAGTCCAGACTTTATCTCGACGACTCCATACAGCCGTGTTATCAGCACTGTCGTTAATGAGGGTCAACTTTTGCCAAATTACCCATCAGACAATTCAAAAAGCTCTCTGTCTAGACTGAATGGGTTGCACGTGCTATACTGTAATGCTTCAGCATTCCTGTAGAAAATCTTCCAAAAACTTTAGCTGATGGGAAAATCAAACCGACTTAATCCTCCTACAACAACTTTTACTGCCTCATCAGACGTACAGTGTCACTGCAGGGTCACAAAAAACAAGGATTTGCCTGTTTGCCTTAAAATCAAAGCATCAGCTAAAAGTAACATCTAAATGCAACGTAGCCTCTGGCAACTTTCAGGTCAAATGAGGTTCACTAGAAAGAGTGAGCTGTTTTCTTTTTCACCCTGTTTACATAATAATAACCTATGTGTCACTTTCCATTACCGAAAGTCAGCGTTGAAAGAAATGAACTGGTCAGTCCTTAAAGGTTATCATGGCGTCTATCCATCACAAATGCCATCATCGATTTCATACTATGTGCCATGCAAGCAGACCCTGCAGGCAAGTGACAGCCGAAGGGAAAAGCCAGCTCCTAAAATGAGGGTCACTGGAAAAGCAACAAATGTTCCTCCTGCTCCTTTCATTGCATTGCAACACATGAAGAATACATGATTCATGACTGAGAAATTCAATTCTTTCACACTGTAAATCAGCCCGAGGACAGAAAAACAAGAAAAGGGAGGAAATCTTTGACCAAATCTTCAAACATCAAGAGCTGCATGTGTTGACATGTGCACTGCTGCTCTCCACACCTTCTCCCTTGCAAACGCTCTGAGCGAGAACTGTCAGTGTTAAGGGTACATTTTTTACAAAACGTAATTATTTTCCGGCAATCGTCAGATTTATGTGTTGCAATAAATTTGCCTCTTCTTCCAAGGAACTTCTACTCTGTTTATACATCTGTCTGGGTAGTGTTTAGCAATACTATCATAGTAAATAGTGGTGTTATTCTCCACAATAGACAGCAGTGTGAAGTGCAGTGAAGCACATGAGCAGCAGGGCAAACTTACCTGAGGCCCAGTTAGGTGACTCTTCCAAGAATATCTGTTTTTTTTTTCCCCTCTCCTCACGCTTCAGGAACTTTCAAAATCCTTTGACAGGACGGCGACAACCAGCCTACTCCCATGGTGGTTTGGTGTAAAGTCCATGAGGGAAAAAGAGAAAAGAGAGCGTAAAGAACACACATACAGAGTTGTGGGAGAGTGTCTCTGCTGCCGCTAACTTCAACTTCAGTGCCTTCAAAGGCTGTGCACCAAAGTGCTGCTCAGACACCTCAACACTCCCTCAGGAGTCCCATCTCCACCCACTTCTTACACTGTCCCTCCTCTCTTTCACTCACACACACACACACACACACACACACACACACACACACACACACACACCTCCATGTGCCCAGATTGTGAGCTGCCTCCCCTCCTTCCTTGCCTGTGGGCTCAGGCCTTTGGGCCTTGGCCAGGACTGTGCTTCTAGGGTGTGTGCATATGTGTGTGCGTGTGTGTGTGTGTGTGTGTGTGTGTGATGTCTGTTGATACTGTACAACTGATCTAATCATTTAGTCTGAAACAACTCTCAACTTTTACCTGAATACATGTGATTTGCCGAAAGGCGTTGCAAACATTAAGTACAAAAACTGTAAGAAAAACAAAGCCCGACTCCCACACATGCACGCGGTTCTATTTCTAACCTTAAACAAAGTCTTCACACGAAAGGTTAATGACTTTCATTGTGGGGACTTGCTTCATATGAGGTCATGTGTTGGTATAATGCATGTTCTCGCCCCATAATCCAACTTAATTCTAACTTTATGTGCTCAAACCACTCACCACACACACTGACGTGCAAATGAGGGCCAAACAAAATGTCATCACTTTCTTAACCATAGCCGTATTTCCACACAATTGCCGAGCAAATTAGAGGCAAACATTTTTTAATGTTGCAAAAAAAAACTGCACTTTTACAAAAGTGTAAATTACATTTACCTCTATTAACTGCAGTGGAGCGAATACATCAGGCTGCATAATGTCTCCAGAAAGGGGCGCTATAGCTGAAGATGTGCATGACTGTAATAAACAGAGTAGAAGAAGCAGGAAACAAAACCAGATTTTTGTCAGATAAAAGGTCTCCACAAAAAAGAAACAAGCAAACCTTTGACTATGAGAACAATTGAAGAAAAGTTTTTTTAGTAAATATTTAAATCAAGAAAGTCGTAATATTCCATGTTAGCTGGTATGAATTAAAGACAATGAAAGAAGCAGAAACAGCTCATTAGTAATGTGAGCTAAATGTTCGCAAGATCAGACATTATTTGAAAAGCTGCTCCTGTCTCCCACCGTGCAAAACATCGCTATTTAAAAAAAAAAGTCAGAAACCACCTCATGTGATGGGTGCTGCTGTAGCTCACCTGGTTGATCTGGCATCCCATGTTCAGGGGCTGCTGTCGCCAATGTGGAGGTCATGAGTTCAAATCCCGCTCGTTGCCCTTCTCCCACTTTCCTGTCTCTCTCTCTCTCACTGCACTATCAAAAAAATAACAACAATAAAAACACCTCAAGCAAGCATGAAAACTTTAAGCTTTTTTGTGAAACTTTGCTGTTTCCTTTATCTTTTTTGAATGCAATGAAAAAGCAAAAAAAAACAACACTGTTAACGTCCAAACTGCCAAGATCTTAAATTCAAAGGGATTCTCATGAAGCCAAGTGGTCTGTGACCTGTATGGAGCTTACAGGGCAACAACAGAACAGCAGCAACAAAAAAACACTCAAAGGATTATTGTAGCCAGCAGCCAGTATGTCTGTGTAGATCTCAGTCCTTCAGATCTCCTTCAGGAGGAGGAAACTGATTCTTGAGGATATCTCACCTCATCCAAGAGGCCTTCTGAAGTTCCTCAAGAACCAAAAAGAGAAGTTCAATTGCCTTCAATTGCTCTTCGGACAAACTACAAAAAAATAAATAAAGAATCCCACTCACCTCTGGCCGTACAGACCACTGTTCACTCGAATTCAATTTAAAAGCCGTTTCATCTTCTCTCAGTGAGCTGTTTGCAGCAAGCTGATGTGCAAACATAAAAAAAACTCATACATCCACACACGAGAAAAAGAAACAAAAAATAAAATGTGTATGTTAGTGTGAAAATATAAGAAAAAAGATTTGAACCAAACCTTGTTTTCCAAAGACCAGCAATGAGTGGCAGCTTGTCCCTCCTGCTGGGCTCCATTTCCTCGACTGTTGCCCCTTTAATAAATCATTACAGACTGAAGGTGGCACAAAACACCGACATACAGCAACACATCATCAGTGCATTGGTGCCAAATACTTATATTTTTATTAAAAAAATGCAGACATGCTGTATGGATTCTCACCACCAGTTTGAGTCAATAGCTCATGACTGCACATGATGGTGCTTCATCAATGAATGAAGACAGAATAAACATGAACCAAACAGCAGTGAAGATGAAACTCACAAGAGGAAAATGGCAGACAGCACAGACAGCAAGTGAAAGCAAACAAAATAGCTAATTATTGAATTGGCACAACATTAAGATTGAATAATAATGATCATACGCACATCCAGACACGACAAAGCAGTGAAGTATCTGAGGCCCTGACTGGACTTCTTCACTGCCAGAGATGATGTCCCAGTTATTACACATCATCTGTTAGTACGAGCTTCTGCCAAACTAATTTCTGCTGCCTTACAAACAATTATTTGCACTTATTCAATAACAGATTGTTTGGTCAATAAAACACAGAATAGTGAAAATCACATAAACATTTAAAAACAAACGCACATTTACAGTCTGACTACTTTCGATAAATACACATTTTGGCCTTTATTAAACAATTAACTGCACGCTGAGTGATTATACGCCTTTGCATCTCACTTGTTGCTTACAGACAAGAGTGGGTGTAACCATGTGGCTCTGCACTCAGACTAATAGTTGGTTCAAAGAATCTCCGCCAAATGGGGGGAGGTAATTAGTGTTACAGTGTGTAGCTGCAGAAAAAAACTCCACAGGCTTTGTGTTGCAGTTGTGTAAACATTGCAAATAAAGTCACTGCATGCAGCTTTCTAACTCCTGGCCTTGGGCCATGAATGGTTCGTAATGAAAGCAGAATAATGAGGGTAGTGGGGGTGGTATCTAATCTACAGTACAGGACTGAATAAAGAGACCTAAAGAATTACAAAACCACTAACAAACCTGAGGCACAGCTCACAATGTCCTGCCAATGATAAAAATCACAGTTGATTACTGTGAAGAAGACATCAGATTGGAGCAGGGCTCCAGTACAATGGCATAATAAAGAGGTAATTTCTTATCATGATAAATACAGTAATACTGGTAATAAGGATTTGTCATTTTCTTTTTGCGCCTGAGATCAAAATGTCTTCTATCAATGAACAGAGGGAAATTCACAAAGGAGTGATTGTTGTGTGAGTGGTAGCCTGATCAAGAGCCAAATAAACCTGCTGCAGATGCCACGTATTAGATTATGTCATTTGCGCAATGGGGCAAAGAAAATCTTGTTTAATGCCACTTCTGTGTTTATGCCAGATGTCCTCTGACAGAGGAACAGATACTATAGTCCTTTGGAGACCTCATAGCTTTGGCAGGATCAGCTGCATGCTGACTTTGACACCATGTTCATGCAAAGAAGGCCTTTCCATTTTAGTTTTGTTTACACTCAGTTATTCAGATTCATAGATTGTTTTTTAAGCGACTAAAGGTTTGCTCAAAAGCTGTTTGATTTTGCCAGCAGTCACTGTCCTCTACGTAGAATGTACCATATAGTATGTAGACAATAAAATATTGACTGTGTTTGTAAACAGAATGAAAAAAACAAAGCAAATGGAGTTTGAAAATGTGAAGGGTGATCGAAAAGTGCTGGGACTATATTATAAAGTGAGCATGTTTTTTGTTTTCTTCAACATTGCCTCGGTTGCTCACCGTGAATTCATCCCCCAGGGATGGAGTGTCAATGCAGAGCTCTACTGTCACATCCTCAGGGGTCTGAAGGAGAACATTCAAATGGCCTGTGATAGGACGTGGCATTAGCATTTTTGGGCACAACACGATCGTCTCTCCCTGCCTGTCTTGCTCACCAGATTCATCTCCCTGTGACTTCTTCATCATCCCTAAAATGAAATTCAAGTTAAAGAGTCGCTGTTTAAAAGATTCAGCATCATCACAGATGACATGTTTACAGAGACTGTTCCGAGCGTTGCAGAGGCACTGGGAGCATCGTGTTCCTGCACAGGGAGGTTATTTCCACAGGAATGGCTGCCAAATTACAACGTAGTGCAGTTTGTTTTTTATAGGCACAGTCCCTGAACTTTTCGACCACACCTCGTATAGTTCACACTGGGTCATCTACAGTGGCTACCGTGGTAACGGTAAATATAAGCGGGCTGGAATCATTAATTAATTAAGGTAACCAACAGTTTTCAGTTTAAGTCTGAAATACAGAGATAAAGATTGTTATTGTGCTGCTGTTTTTGTTTTCTGACAAACTCTTTATTCTGACTGAACTTGGAGTGCAGCTAAAGATAGACTGAATGAATGAATGAATGAATGAATGAACGAATGAACGAATGAACGAATGAATGAATGTGGAATAAAGTTGTAAAACTGTGAAAGTGATGATAAATGTTATGTACAGGTTTGGCCTGTTTGTTTTTTGTTTGTACATTAATCCAGTTGTCTTTGATATTGCTAGATTTTATTTTTTTTTACTTATTTACCTTTTTTTAAAATCCATAATATATATATATATTGTATGTGTAACTGAATTACTAAATGCTATAAAAGAGCACAGTACCACCTATTTTAAAAAAATAAAAATAAAGAGAGCGATTATTGATATGGACAATATCCATAGAATTGGCCTGTTTTGTTTTTGTTGTTTTCTTTTTCTTTTACAGTTAACATTTATGTTGAGATTGTATATTTTTTAGCCTACTGTATGTTTAAATTGTATATTTTGCAGTTTATCATATCTTTATCTTAAACATTTTTTAGTATGTAGATTTTTTCAACTATGTTTTTTTTAAAATGAGGGTTTGAGAGAAACTCAATGTCAGTTCCTGTAGATGTAGACGTGTAACAGAACTGACAATAAAGTAACTTTGACTTAATTTATTACTTTTTTTTTTTTTACGTGTTATTATCTGTAACATCACAAAACAAGG